TGAGGAATTGCTAAGAAAAAACGCCGTGGGAACGTTCAAAAGTTAAGTACATCTCGCCTTACAAAAGACTCGTTTTTAAGGAATGAAATTTTCCCCGGAGATTTTTAGGTTCTTTGCATCATATCTCGAGTAAAATTATCTGAACATTTACTTATAAGAAGAATATTCACTAGTGTCCCAGAAAATTTGGATTTCATCAAATGATTCGGTTCATACTTGCGTTATTCTTCACAACAGTAGTAGGTACACTGTACAGGGTAGCAGTAAAATTCCAATTCAAAATTCCCTGACTTCTTCTAATGAAATTCCCTGGCTACTTTACGATAGTGTAAGGGCATTTAATTGATGTGGTCAAAATGCTGGCACAACAACGCGATCAGCTGACCCGCCGCGGACCCGATTTTTGCGTGGACCGCACTCCACGAAAAATTCCCTGACTTTTCCCTGATTTTTCCCGGTTGAGTTGCATTCCCTGACTTTTCCCGGTTTTTCCGGTTCTCCCGGTCGCTAGTCACCCTGAGGTACAGAATAATAAAAATATCAAAACTACGCAATTTTATTAAAACAAAATGAAAGATGAAATTTGTCGCTAAATCGAGTAAGTTAAAATCCAATGGTACAAAAATAATATAGAAGAATGTTAAGATCTAAATATTTACACTTATGTTACGTCATTCATAGCATGGCTCAATTAACTTCCTCTCGAACCAGGGCTGCCACAGAAGTCAGAAAATGAAATTCCTGGACATTTCCCTGGTTTCCCTGACACATTTTTGTGAAATTCCCTGACAATTGAAGATGTGAAGGATGGTTAAGAAGGCATAATTGCAACAACTTTTCAGGCAAAATTTGTTGTTCAAAACCTTAAACCCATTCTAGACAGCAAATGAAGTTGATTTAACAAATTTCCCCTGACATTTCCCGGTTTTCCCTGACTATGGTAACCCTGTCGAACACTATGAAAATCAGGAATCTATTCCGGAGTGGTAAGTTCCGACGGAGCTTGGAAACCCGGAGTTCGCTCGGACATGAAACGTGGGTTTGAAAGCTCTGTCGGAGCTGGACGGTGTGCGCCGGTCTCCATCTCCAGATGAAAGTTGGAAGAAAATCCTCGCGCTCATCAAGGTCATCGGCGGCGTCGCTAATAAACTGCACGTCCTGCAATTGGAGATCGAAACCAGTTCCACTCGGTCGAGGAGTGCACGCCTGCCGATCAGATCGCGGCTCCCGGCGCGACTTCAAAATAAAAAACCTTTTCGTCTCATCGACGGATTTGGACTCGGGCCCCGGACCGGGTGTCAGGTAAAAGTAAGCCGGGGGCCTTTCCGCGGATTAGACGCATGAATAATGCAAGGAACGGCTTTTGATTCGGGCTCGAGGAGCACGAAAAACAACCCGAACAAAAAACCGTTCGTTTAATCAAGAGTCAACGAAACCAAGGATACATTGGCTATACTGACCACATGCTCCCGTTCTCAAATGTCCTCCGATGGATCCAGTAGACTGTCGTGCTAAGGCAGAGCGCCGTATGAACCTTCAGACGTTGCCGCATTTCCATTAATAAAGACCTAATTTACTGGGAAAATCGTGAATGTTTTTCTTCAATTTTTTTCGAACAATTTTGTTTGCAATTTTGTCTACTTCAAATATCTAAAAATTTGAGGCCTCTTCGAGGCCTCCATTTTGGACAAGACAGAAACCTTCGGGCATGGTGTCTAGTCTTCTTGGCAAAGCTTATTCCCTGATTTTCAGGAGCTCATTCCCTGACGAGAGACCGAAGTTTTCTCCCACTTTCCCGGGATTTTCTTGGGAAAACTAATATAAGAATATAATTTTCCGAGTTTCAAATATGAAAATCGTTTTTAATTAATCTTAAGTAGGTACAGTCATTTCTTTGGCGCACGTCAGAATAGACCGCCGAATTTGAAAACGAAATGATCCCTGGGTGGTTGGAGGAGAGATTCCCGGTTTCTGGAACAGATTCCCTGATATTCCCGGTAAATTTTCATTCCCAGATGAATCTCGGTATTTAAAAAACTTGACACCATGCCTTAGGGCGTCATTGCAAAGTCCACTAGGATCGCTCCTCAATCGCAGTTTTGCGACGATGTCGAAAATAACACCTTCGACAAACTCGGTTACGAACATACGAGCTGATCGAAGTAACAACATGGAAATTTAAATTGTAGGGTTTCACCCGGACAAGCATGACAAGTTCTATTCAGAGTTTTTCACACACGTCACAAGTGAGCTTCGGCTCATGTAAAGTATTGATGCTATAAATTGAGATAATACCCTTTTAGTGCGGTGTGCCGTACAGTGCCTACCACCTACCTACCGGCATGATAAAGAAGCTGTGAGCCCCATCAACAAGATTTACAGTCTACATATTATCCGGAGTGGATTGCGGAGTAAAATTTTAGAACGGCAACCTCTACTTGACCGCTTCTTGATTGCACGAAAATTCGTCTCTATTTTCATTGCCGAATAACAAGAACCAAAATGGTCCTAAGTCAGGGAATCAACAGGAGAAAAAAACAAAGGACTTATATCTCTTGAAGAGTCTCCAGCCTACTCTGCCCTCCTGAGGCGATACCTACTGATGAAAAATATTTGTTCTTACCCCTCAATTTTTGATAGATACCTAGGTGAGAAATAACTGGCTGAACTCAAACCTAGGTGCTCCCGATTCAAAACATTTTTGCCGAAATGCAATTCGGTGAGTTCGTGGCATACTATAGACGGATCGCTTCCAAGGGGTATGGATTCGATCGACATGAACCGATCGAAAAACTGAAACAGGAATCGGTCGACAAATTATTTAAAAACCGGTATCGATTTGACCGACATGCATCGATCGAAAAATTAAAACGTGAACCAATCGCTGCGATTCGATGGACAAAATTTCATTGATTCACGGGTTAGTCGATCGCTTCACGTTTTAACTTTTCGATCAATGCATGTCGATCGAATCGACACCGGTTTTTTAGTAATTTGTCGATCGATTCGCGTTTTCATTTTTCGATCGGTTCATGTCGATCGAATCCATACCCTCCGAAAGCGATCCGTCTATGGTATGCCACGAACTCGCCGAATCGCATTCCGGCAAAAACATTTTGAATCGGGAGCACCTAGATTTGAGTTCAACCAGTCATTTCTTACCTATCTATCAAAAATTTAAGGGTAAAAACAAATATTTTTCATCAGTAGGTACCGCCGCAGGAGAGCAGAGTAGGCTGGAGACTCTTCAAGAGATATTGAAAAAATTGAGTCCTTTGTTTTTTTTCTCCTGTCGAACTTTTCGATCAATGCATGTCGATAGAATCGACACCGATTTTTTAGTAATTTGTCAATCGATTCACGATTTCATTTTTCGATCGATTCACGCCGATCGAATCCATACCTTCCATCATTTCCACCAACGAACCCTCCGATCATGGGAGGTTTCGATATGGAAGCCATCGATATCAGAGGATGATTTTACACCCGAGGCAGCTGCGCATCTCACAGGCTTCACGCATGATTTTAAAGGAAACGAGCGCTTGCTTCCTCAGGATCAGGCCATCATGGCTCATCGAAGCGTTACATCATACCTCCCTCACACTCAAGACCGACGTTTTACCCATTCTGTTGTGCTAAGGAAAAACGCCGTATGAACCGTCAGGCGTTGCCGAATTTCCTTTGATAAAACGAGAATTTCCTGATAAACTTAAGGATAATCTTCTCACAATTCTTCAGATAAGTTTGTTCGCAGTTTCAATTAAAGATTCTGAAAATTTCAAGGAAAATTATTATCTTTCCTCAAAAATAAGCATTTTATCGAAGGAAATTTGGCAACTCTCGAATGTTCATACGGCGTTCTATCTACCTCAGCGCGGCAGCATTCGAGTCGACTTTCCTCGCATTTACAGCCATTAAACATGCTTAATCCTGTCTATCATTCCAAGGAACCGTTTATTACTGATATGACTCAAGCGCCTGAATCCGTCGCTCCTTGGCGTTAAGAGCGTATATGACGCAGTGACGAGCGAAAACAGCTGGGAAACTTTAGAATCGCGGAAATTCTCTGACTTTCTTCGGTTTCCCAGACAGTGACTAAATTCCCTGATTATTTCCGGTTTTCCAACCCTGTAAACATCCTGAGCTTTCTTAAGTCGATTGAAACAACCAAACCTTCGTTTTACGGATTCAAATGGAGACATCATTGCTGCGTAACAAAGCAAAAGATAAACAGAGCTGTGTACAGTAGAAGAAAAACACAATATTCTTAAGGGTCATTAAGGGTGCACATTTTTCAGGCAAAATGGAATCATGCAAGTATGTCCTCAGAACTTCCAGACTTTTAAAACAATTCAAAATTATTCAACATGATATGTTGTGAAACTCCGTTTTGAAGAGTAGTTTTAAAAATTATACCCAATTGATTAACAAACTAGATGTCGTCACCTTCCAGGCAAAGTATCACAAGCGCCATGCGACGTTTAAAAATTTCCGCCGCTATTTTATTTTTTTACAGAGAAATTGTTCAACGAAGCTCCAAAAATTTCACTGAATTTTCTTTGTGCTGCCGATAAAATTTAGTGAAATTTCCAAACAGATTCAACCAACAATTTCTCAGTAAAGAAATAAAATGGCGGCGGAAATGTTTAAACGTCGCATGGCGCTTGTGATACTTTGCCTGGAAGGTGACGATGTGTTAAATTGAAATAGCGTCTGAATCTGAACTGACCCTGCAGGAGGGTTAATATTTTTTGATGATGCGATTTTTGTTTTGTTTTTTGTTTATTTCGTTCTACAGTAGTTTTTCTTTTTTCCTTTGATAAAATGTTGATGGAAAGTAAATACTGAAAAAGTCTTAAAATTGCTCCAGTATAGGCAGTTGCTTAGTGCTTACTTTGATCTGCCTTTGAAAAATATTCTGCTATGATTCCCAAAAAAATATGCATCCCCAAGGACTGCATTATATGAAGAATAAAATTGCAGGAATATAAGGTGCTTACCACTGGCCGATCTCTGTTAGATCGCATAATGAGTCCGTCATTTTCAATGTAGTCAGGTACATCCTTCCTATCACTAAAGTTGAACACGACAGTGTTTTGTTGATGATGCCATGGTTTTTTCTCCCATAATCCACCTGATTTCAGCTCATTTTCACTGGGATCAGAGCTAACACTATTACATCCCCGAGGATGTGCACTGATTTCAACCGGAACAGTATTAGATACACGACTCGGCAACGTTTTGAACGCGACAACAACCTTGCTCACTGGTTGTTCTATAGACTTCACCTCGTTGATAAGATTTTTCTCTTTTTCTTGACTTGTTAAGTGATTTTGTTTCATATTATTTGGTAAATTTATCTGTCGACTAGAGACAATGGGCCGAATCACTCCAACTTGTTTCATGTGAGTAACAGGGGTACTGTTGACGGGACTAACTTTTGATTCTGGTGATACATCATTCTGAATTTTCGGGGGCGAAACGGGGGATGTTGGCTGAGGCGAAACAATAACGGTTGGCACTTCTTTTTGCGGCTCACTAGGTGATGCTGGAAGGTAAGATTTAGGCGAGTTATTGGAGTCTTTGTCATTTTCTTTGAATTTGAAACAAAGAGAGGTACCTCCTTTTCGAATATTCTCTAAGGCGTCCTTTGAGACTACTTTGTCTGGACTCAGTCTTTCATGGCTCTCATCAGTGGAAGACTCATCTTCATCATCAGTGCACTTTGATGAAACTGATTCAGATGGTTTGACCGTCACAGTTTCATCATTAATTTCAGGAATATTTACAGGTGATTTCAAGACAGGTTTTGAAACCATAGGATTAGTTGGAATGAATTTTAATGTTGAAGTATGGATATTAGATCTATTCACGTGATTTGAATTTGTTATTTTTGGAGGGGGAGTGAACTTACGCAACTGATTTTGATGTAATTTTTCTGGACTAGGCTTCGGAGAAAGATTTGGTTTAGAGAGAGGTACAGGCTTTTCACCTTTCATAATTTGTTTACTAATAGCAGCAGGGCTTGATACACTGTTAGACTGGACCACTTCACTGGGCTTGGCGACTTTGTTGATTTTCAATTTCGCTGGCTTCTTATCAGTTGAAGTGGGCTCGAACAATTTGACTGTTTGTTTCACCACATCTGGAGGGGGAAGCTCCGTTTTTTCAAGAGGAGGGTTGTCAATACCATTCTCAATTTGTGGAACCTTTTCAAGGATAACAAGATCTTTAGTGCCGTTTAATTCGTGACACTTGTCGTTCAATAATGGAGTGGTTTTGATATCACGCATTTCACTGCCATTAGTATCCGCATGCACCAGGGTTTCCATAGATTGAGCACGCTTCAGACTATCATTACGTGTCATGGAATTTGCAGTACTCTTGTAGCAATTCTTACTAGAAGGATTCGAAGATTTAGAGTATTTATTGAAACATTTTAGATTATTTACAGTCTTAGGTGGGGGCGCCTCTTCGTCCAGCATATTTTCCAAGCTTGTTGCTCGCCTCAGATTATTCAGCGACGGTCGGACTCCATACTTCTGGTTTTCACGCAACGTCATGCTCAAATATTTAGTTTTCAATTTGTTGACGATACCTGGGCCGTACTGGAACTCCTCGCTCGAGTCGGAGTGCGAATCCACATTGTCGCTGAGGTTCTTGACTTGAGCCCCGCTGCAAACAGAGCGGCTCCTGAGCATGCTCGGTCTCTTGGGCACAGACCTGAGCTTGGGGACAGGTAATCCATTGGAATTTTTGCTGAATTTCTTATCACTGGTCCTACACACGAATTCACAGCGCACATCACTGATCACTCCACTGTTCCTGTTCACCATGATGTCACCGGTGCACTCGTCGAGAATCCTCATCGTGCTTTTGGAAACTTCATGAAAATTCGCGTGAGGTTGAGTCGGTCGCAAGGAGCTGCGACTAGGGATGCTGACCGAGTCGAAACTGCGCGAGGAAACAAACTTAGACGAGGAGATAGTGGCTTGGCCCCTACCTCGATAACCGCCGCGGAGGCAGACGTTCGTTCTCGCTGCTGATAACCCGGAGGACTGAGGTGGAGGAGCAAGGGCCCGGCCACTGGCCCGCTTTCGTAGGATCAACTCCCTCTTCCATTGAGGAATGTTTACATCAGGTCGTCCACTTTCCTCACCGGTAGTCGCCATACTGGTCCGCCAGCAAACAGCCAACACCGAGTCTCTGCGTACTTACTCGCGCTACAAGCTCACTCCATCGCCGACTGCCAGCCTATTCACATCGCCGGGAAGATAACTCCACCGATGGCATTTTTATCTTCCAATAATGCTGACGCGTCGAATTAAATGCAGCACCATGCCGCGATCCGAGAGGGAAAAATCCACAAGTACTTGTAAACACACTTGAAACCGACGGGGACATGACTGAAAAAGCCTCGCTGGATTCGCACTGCTCGTCTACTCGAAAGATTTAACTGCAAGAATTTAAGACTAAAAGCTAGACACAGGAGTGAGATCAATCGTTACGGAGTTTAATTTGTTTCCCGATAAGTTTCCGAACTTTTTTGAGCACTTTGGTTTCGCGTCACTCCGTCTGCTTTTCATTGGATGTCCCCATTTCGCTTCACGCAACGCTGCGCGAAAGTACGGCTAGCGCTATCTCTCGGACTTTCGCGGAAGCATTAATCAATACATTACTGCAATGAGAGGTTGCGATTTCCGACACTGTTGCCGCTTCGTCGAGATGCATGGCACTTGAGTGCGAAACCACGTATCTCCGTTTTGCGACGTTGCAGACTTCCTGTCCTACTATTTGTTTTCTCTTGAAAATTAGTCAACGTTATTTCTTGAAAAACTCATGGACTTATCTTCTCGGTTAACATAATAATCTATATGAAGTTCAAAGTTTAAAGTTTACTTGTTCCTTTTCGAAAAGATGAAATAGAGGCGGAAATTTTGAATGACTGCAGTGTTTATACGTAGTTTTGCACATGTGATTTATTTCAGAAAATAAAAGAGCATACTACATTATAATGTCGCGAACATGTCATTTTCATTTAATTTTTTTAAATCGAGCTTAAGTATTAATGATTGAAATCGAAATTATTTTCATCTAGATGCAGCCTACATTATTTCATGGAGGGGGGGGGGCACAGCAAAGCATAATGTGGAATTTTCACTAAAATATGTACCAAACTTTAGTTCCAAACATAGTTTTACCATTGCACCTAGGAAATCAAATACGCGAATTTAGGCTTGTGAGATGTTGTAATGATGAAAAATTTGCACCTAAACGTCAAAATTGGTTTTCCCAAAGAGGGATAAAATAATCTAAACAAAGGAAGACGCATTAACGGAGGTAAATGGAATTTCTGCGTTGGACGGCGATGTTGTAATACGATTATCCCTCAAAAAATGTTCAATGTCGCGTTTAAAATCAGTAATGGTTTACTTCATCGACACGATAGGAAACTATAGAAATAAGTTAAGGTATAAGAGAAACAATCGAAGCTTCACTAATCGTTGCATGCGACGGATACTCAACGAATTTCATTACAACGCCCTGATGCAACTATTCGGGCTCCATGGATGCCCGTGTTGCATACGCACGACGATGAAGGCGTTTTGCAGGCACTAACCGCATCGCCAGCGACACTCGGTGGTGCTAGTCAATGACAGGAGTCGAATCGGACTCCGGGGAAATTCTCCGACGAAATTTCGTCGACGAAATAGGGCAAAATTAAGCTCTCAGTATTAAGGTTTAAGAAGTGGTTTCGTTGATTTTCTTGTAAAATTTCCCCCAAAAAGCACCCAGCACAATTTATGATGTTAAGACATTAGCATCAAAATTTACTGTTTTGGTCGAAAATTTCATTTCCAACCTTTCTGAAAGTCTCGCGTATTGTGCAGCAGGCTTAACTGCAAGGCTCAAAAATCACAGAGTGCGTGTAATTCTTCATGTATCTTCAACAACATTGCAGGTGTGAATAATTTCTCTACAAATTATTCTTAGCACATCCCGCTATCAAAACTGAAAAGCGCAAAATATATTCACATCCTACGCCTGTATGCAACTATTCATGCTGGAGGCGATATCTTTGTGGTATAAACGAAGTATTAAAGTAGTCTCTGTCATTTTGGATCCTCGCAGTAAAGCCGGTCGTTGCAGAGCCGCTATTAAAGCGATGAGTGTCTCGACTGTCAAAACTCCTTCACTTCCTTGCGTATGCAACACGAACGTCCATGGAGCCCGAATAATTGCACCCAGAAGTTATAAAGTTTGGCAAGATCGTTTCAGGACCATTACAGAAAAATTAAAGGGCTCATCTCAACATAATAGTATTTATTTTCGCCGAGGAGTTAGTAACAGCCCCGTCAGAAATTTTAATCTTAAAAAATTTAACCTGATAATTCAAATTTAACCTTACGGTTAATTCATAGCTCGGCGTGGTCAGACCCAAAGCTTCCCGAAAAATGTCTTAAGTAACTGATTGTTTTAAAATAATCATATCTGAACGGACTGCAGAGAGTTCTTCGGTCTACGCAGTTTTGAGCAACTAGAGACTCAGCCCACCTACTCTAACATCGCACGTTCGTAGTAATTTTCACCAAAAAATACCTAATTCGCAGTAATTTTCGAAAAACTTAAAGCTTCCGCTGCAGATTTCTTATGATTTTAACCCTTTCTACGGTAATTTTCTTAAAAATTCAACTCGTAAGAAGTAATTTACTAAAAATTTCAACACCTTAGGCAGTAATTTTCTAAGAAATTCAAAGATTTTGCACTACTTTTACAAAAACCAGTGCATTCGACTAATTTTTACAAAATACATATCAACATCCTTGCCATAAGTTTCTGTAAAAAATAAGTCCGTTTAACGCTCACTTTAGACTAAAATCATGTTTTTGACTCGTGCAGTTCGGTTCATGTAACTGAACTTATTTTACCACTTCTTCGAAACTCATAAGTTCGGTTAAACGAACTGGACGTCCGGCTACACGAACTGAAAGTTGCGTTCGACGAACCTAATTGTTGGGATTATACAAAACTCCATCCTCTTGACTCAAAATAGTTGTACCACGTGATTCGCCGAATCAAATTTTTCTACTCAGCACAAAAGTCTCCGAGTCAACCGATGAGTTCATGTTCTCCTTCATTTTGTGCATATGCAATTTTACCTACTTGAGAGTCGGAATAGTTGTATCAACCTCATTGAACTTTTCTACTCTGCGTTAAAGTCTCCGAGTAAACCGAAAGATGTTTCGTTCTCGTTCATTTTGTGGCGATGGCGACGCAATTTTATTTTCTTGGAATAAGTCAAAATAGTTGTACTGCGTGTTCCGCCCCATCTAACTTTTCTACTCTTAAAGTCTCTGAGTCAGCCGAGTTGATTTCATGCTCTGCTTTATTTTGATTTATCGGGAGGAAACTAACCAAAATACATCTTTGAAATTTTTTGTAATTATTTGGGCGCGTTTATGCCAAAAGGAACTATGTTTCACGCGATCCATATGCACATAGTTTCTTTTACCATAAATACGTCTATTTTTGAACGAGTAAGGGTTTCGTCGAAAATTTCAATGAAAACTATGTGAGTCAGCATCTTACGAAACAATTAAGCATCAGAGGACTTTTCCAACGTCGCAACAGGAGATACGCATTGTTCGACCACAGTTATGGATATAGCCTCTAAAAACTGACAATTATTTATTCGTCATGCTGACGTCCCAAATCCATCAAAGTGCAAACTATCAGAATGCTAATGTTTAGTTGTTTTTTTCTTCCTTTTTTAATCCTTGTCGGGTCAATCACAATTTAAAAAGGAGAGCGAGAAACGTAAGAGAGTGAGGACAATGATTGTGTAATGTTTCACAGGCCATTGATTCAGAGTCCACGGAGTTCGCAGTGGCGAGGCGTGAAAGATCGATTATCGATATTTCCTCCTTTGAAGCTACGGTAAAGAATCGATTGTGAAGCTGCTCGTTACGATCACCCTGTCCATCGACTCTTCTCCATAGGTTCAAATGGGAGATCAATCGATATATCGCAAAGCACGCCACGCCACTGGGAGTTTTCCCTGCATTTGACGGCTGTCTCCCTCTTACATCTTTCCGCAAATTTCACAATGCTCAATTCGGTTTGATTTCGTCAAAGCGAATTATGATTTGCGTCTCTCGATTTCCGATCTCGATCGCCGCACGGTGGATCGAGTCAATAGGAGAGGTCGGACAAAATTTGGAAACTTTAAAAGCCTATAACTTCGTTAATACGAAACTATGAAGTTCTAAAAGTGGCTCCATTGGTTTTCCCGTGAAACTTCCTTCTTGGGGCACCCCTTCAAGTTCAAAATATGACGAAGTAAACATCAAAATTTACAGTTTTAGTCAATAATTTCATGTCCGACCTCTCTGATTGCCTCGATCCACTGTGCGCCGAGGGCAGTGGTGACGCTGACGAATTCTGTGATCAACCGAGGTCTGCTTTCATTTTTTTGAAGAGGGAACCATGCAATTATTGTATTTCGCGTGGCTGAAAACTCGCGACACCCGGAGGAGGCTCAACACGTCACGTATTAGGCACTGGCATAAATAATAATTGTTACCGGCGTTGCCCGACATGGCGTCATCAATGAACAATGTCGGAATAAAAGCTAGAATAAACTTAGGTACCCATGTCATTTGTGAGCACGGATGTAAGTGGCGTAACTCACCAAGAGCGAGCCCGCCCGCTGACTGAATAGAGAATTTGCAGTTGTCTGAAATTTGATAAATTTCTTGTTTAAGTGGAAACTACTGAGTGAAGAAGATACGACAAAATGATCTAATCCTGCTAAAATACGCGTGTTTAAATGGAAATTGCCGCCAGATGACGTCACTAGGCGGTGCATTTTCTCACTTTTAAATATATTTTTATCCTATTTTCCATATCAGAAAAAAATTTATAAAAGATACCGTGAAATCAGCTTTTTAAGCACTTTCAGATGAAGCAATAAAACATTTGCATGCAAATTCTTCATTTATGGGTTCCCCTCGATCAGTAGCGTGGCGTGTTCTGTGATACATCGATTAATCTGCCATGTGAACCTATAAAAAAGGATCGATGAACAGGGTGTTCGCCACGAATACTTTAATATTCGATATTTTACCGTAGCTTCAAATGCTGAAATAGCGATATTCGACTATTCATACCTCGCCACAGCCCTAAATAATCCCCAAGATCGATTAATGGATTAAATTTACAGACGACTTCAAAAATTCCAGCAGGCGATTTCCAGAGGGCAATGGACCACTAGACAAGGTACGAATTTCAACATTCTGATACATGTTTCTTAACCAAAATTTCACGTAAAACACGATGCGCTCAACGAAAATCACCGATATCAACTCCTTACGAAAATATTTAATGATTCTTGGTGCGTGAATTCAAACTATCTGCTCATGAAAACTCGATGCTCTACGTGATTCACATCGCGCACTAAACGTTATCATGACAGTCTCTGCGATATAAAAATCTGGCAACCTTAATCTTGACACTTTGGCTCATCTATTACAAATAGCTTATAGTTTGAACAACACATGGTGGGAAATGAACATTGCTCGATTGAGCGGCTTGCTGAAACCGTTGTAGTGCGCGATTTGACTCACGTAGAACTTTGAGTTTCTTGTGAGCGGGCAGTTCAAATTCCTCGTAACCAATGTGAAATGAAAACGTCAATATCTTTGTTAGAAGTTGGTTTCAGTAATTTTCGTTGCGCAAATCGTATTCTACGTGAAATTCTGGTCAAGAAACATGTATCAGATTGCTTAAATTCCTACCTTGTCTAGTGGTCCATTTCAATAGGTGACTGCGGGCCCCATAGAGCCGTGGACCTGCCCCTACACTTACGCCACTGTCTGGCATGGGTGCAAGGCAGGGCCTTTACAGACAGAGTATGACCGCTGAAAGATCCACTTCTGAGTGTGCATATTCCTGCCATGTTTTTCAGGATGGAAAAGTGTATATTATTCACATTATAGGCAACATAATCAGCACTCTAATCGTGTTCTTCTCTTTTTAAATTTTATGATTTTCTATATTTATTCACCACTGGCTTGTCAATTGCCAGCGACATATACATTTACAGAAAAAAAAGAAGAAGATAAAGAAGGAGGTAAAAAAAAGGTGCTTCAACTTCGGCACAGAAGGACGAAGTTCCTGCTTTGGCAAGCAGATCCATTGGAAGATCCACTTCTGAGTGTGCATATTCCTGCCATGTTTTTAAGGATGAAAAAGTGTATATTATTCACATTATAGGCAACATAATCAGCACTCTAATCGTGTTCTTCTCTTTTTGAATTTTATGATTTTCTATATTCATTCACCACTGGCTTGTCAATTGCCAGCGACATATACATTTACAGAAAAAAAGAAGAAGATAGAGAAGGAGGGAAAAAAAGGTGCTTCAACTTCGGCACAGAAGGACGAAGTTTCCGCTTTGGCCTCAGCAGAGCTGGAGTGAAAGCCCGCTTCGAAGGTAACATTACGGCGCGGTGTTCGCAGGAAATCCTAGCTGCTGCCTCACGCCCCCCCCCCCCCCCCCCC